AAAAAAAAAAAAAAAAAAAAAAAAGACTTCACATCCTTTGCAGGGACATGAATGACGCTGGAAACCATCATTCTCAGCAAACTAACACAGGAAATCAAATACCGCATGTTGTCACTCATAAGTGGGAGTTGAACAATGAGAACATATGGACACAGGGAGAGGAACATCACACACTGAGGCCTGTCAGGGGGTGGGGATTTAGGGGAAGGATAGCATTAGGAGAAATATTTAATGTAGATGACGGGTTGATAGGTGGAGCAAACCACCATGGCACGTGTAAGTAACAAATCTGCACATTCTGCACATGTATCCCAGAACTTAAAGTACAATGATGATAATAACAAAAACTTGTTTAGCTTTATTTTTAAAAAAATTTGAATAGACTGGGCCATAACCTTCATACCTGCACTGCAGGCTCCTCTGGGGTCTTCATGTCCGATCCCAAGACTCTCACCAGTGAAGAGTAATGTGCAAGTGGCTTCTTCCCTGTCCTGGAAGCTAGTCGTTTTGCTCCTACAACTGGGGTTGGGGCTTCATCAATGACATGGTACCCTTCGTGGACTTGCATCTGCAGCTGGTTTCCCTGTTTAACTGCCATCTAAGAGCATACATTATGAAACAAAAACATAAGATGCCATTCTTCTTTCCCAGATAAAGTTTCAAAGACATCAAAACAGAATGGTGTGGTAAATTATGCTAGAAATTATTAGGATTTTTTGTTTGCCTTATTAAATCCAACAACAAATAGAATATATATATATATTTTTGTTTTGTTTTGTTTTTCTTTAAGACAGGCTTTCACCATGTTGGCCAGGCTGGTCTTGAACTCCTGACCTCAGGTGATCCATCCACCTTTGCCTCCCAAAGTGCTAGGATTACAGGCATGAGCCACTGTGCCAGGCCTAGAAATTTATTTTTATTTTGGGTTTTTCAGATGGCATTTCGCTCTGTCACCCACATTGGAATGCAATGCATGGCTCACTGCAGCCCATCTGTCTCCTGAGTTCAAGCGATCTTCCCATCTCAGCCTCCTGAGTAGCTGGGATTACAGGGGCACATCACCACGCCTGGCTAAGGTTTTTGTTTTTCTTTGGAGAAAGGAGTCTCACTGTGTTGCCCAGACTGGTCTTGGATGTCTGAGCTTAAATTATCCTCCCACCTCAGCTTCCTGAGTAACTGGGTCTAGAGGTGTGTACCACCACACCTGGCTAATTTTTGTATTTTTGTAGCGGTGGGTTTTTTTTTTTTTTTTTTTTTGGGACGGAGTTTCGCTCTTGTTACCCAGGCTGGAGTGCAATGGCGCGATCTCGGCTCACCACAACCTCCGCCTCCTGGGTTCAGGCAATTCTCCTGCCTCAGCCTCCTGAGTAGCTGGGATTACAGGCACGCACCACCATGCCCAGCTAATTTTTGGTATTTTTAGTAGAGACGGGGTTTCACCATGTTGACCAAGATGGTCTCGATCTCTTGACCTCGTGATCCACCCGCCTCGGTCTCCCAAAGTGCTGGGATTACAGGCTTGAGCCACCGCGCCTGGCTAGAGGTGGGGTTTTATGATGTTGCCCAGGCTAGTCTTGAACTCCTGGGCTCTAGCAATCCGCCCACCTCGACCTCTCAAAGTGCTGGGATTACAGGTGTGAATCACTACGCCTGTTGGCTAATTTTAAAATTTTTTTGTCATATGTTACCCAGGCCCATCATAAACTTGGTTTTGTTATTAAAACCACAAAAGCATTGTGTTGCTTTATTCCACACACACCAAAAAAAAAAAAAAAAAAAAAAAAAAAAAAAACCCACAAAAGTAGGTTGTAAGATAGCAAATTAAGTAAGATTTTCCTTAACTGGGTTACTATTTTTCTGTTTTGTTGTTGTTGTTTGAGACAGAGTCTTGCTGTGTCGTCAGGCTGGAGTGCAGCGGCATGATCTAGGCTCACTGAAATCCCCACCTCTGGGTTCAAGTGATTCTTTTGCCTCAGCCTCCAGAGTAGCTCAGACTATAGGGGCGCACCACCACACCCAGCTAATTTTTGTATTTTTAGTAGAGACAGGGCTTCACCATGTTAGCCAGGATAGTCTGAATCTCTTGACCTCATGGTCTGCCCGTCTCGGCCTCCCAAAGTGCTGGGATTACAGGTGTGAGCCACTGTGCCTGCCCTAATTGGTTTTTATATAAGACTACATCTATGGAATCTTAAGTCAGGGTTCCAAAAAAGTCAATTCTAGACAAACAAAACTTAAGAAACAAAGCTATATCCTATAATTAGGCATTTAGTTTTCCAATAAGAACAGTATTTTGGGGCCAGGCGCAGTGGCTCACACCTGTAATCCCAGCACGTTGGGAGGCCGAGGTGGGCAGATCACAAGGTCAAGAGTTCGAGACCAGCCTGTCCAACATGGTGAAACACTGTCTCTACTGAAAATATAAAAATTAGTCAGGCGTAGTACGCCTGTAATCCCAGCTACTTGGGAGGCTGAGACAGGAGAATTGCTTGAACCCAGGAGGCGGAAGTTGCAATGAGCAAAGATGGTGCCACTGCACTCCAGCCTGGGTGACAAAGTAAGACTCTGTCTCCAAAAGAAAAGTATTTGGGGGCTGTGTGAGGTAGCTCATGCCTGTAATCCCAGCACTTTGGGAGGCAGGGGTAGATAACTTGGGTCCAGGAGTTCAACACAAGCCTGGGCAACACAGCAAGAACGTGTCTCTACACACACAAAAAAGTATAAAAATCATCAGGACATGGTGGTGTGTGCCTGTAGTCTCAGCTACAGAGAAGTCTGAGGTAGGAAGGCCTCTTGAGCCCAGGAGGTCAAGGCTGCAATCATGCCACTGCACTCCAGCTGTGTAAGCTATGATCATACCACCGCACTCCAGCCTGGGTGACAGTGAAATCCTGTCTCAAAAAAAAAAAAAAAAAAAAAATGATTTTTTAAAACAAGTGCTATCAGTGAAAAAAAGCTTTTTAAAAATAAAAATAGCCAGGTGTGGTAGCTGGGCACAGCGGCTCACACCTGTAATACCAGCACTTTGGGAAGCTGAGGCAGGCAGATCATTTGAGGCTAGGAGATTAAGACCAGACTGGCCAAAATAGCGAAGCCCCATCTCTACTAAAAGAAAAAAAACAGTTGGGTGTGGTAGCACATGCCTGTAATCCCAGCTATTTGGGTGGCTGAGGTGTGAGAACTGCTTGAACCCAGGACCTGGAGGCTGCAGTGAGCTGAGATTGTGTCACTGCACTCCAGCCTGGGTGACAGAGGAAGATTCAAACAAAACAAAAAACAAAACAAAACGAGCCAGGGGTGGTGATGTGCATCTGTGGTCCCAACTACTCAGGAGGATGAAGTGGGGAAAACTACTTGAGCCTGGGAGGTTGAGGGGGTAGTAAGCCATGATTGCGCCACTGCACTCCAGCCTCTATGACAGGATGAGACACATGTTAAATAAAAAACGGCTGGATGCAATGGCTCACACCTCTAATCCTAGCACTTTGGGAGGCTGAGGTGGGTGGGTTGCTTGAGCCTAAAAGTTCAAGACCAGTATGGGGAACATGGTAAAACCCCATGTCGAAAAAAGAAAAGGCAGGGCTCAGTGGCTCATGCCTTTAATTCCAGCACTTTGGGAGGCCAAGGAGGGGGTTGGATCACCTGAGGTCAGGAGTTTGAGACCAGCCTGGCCAACATAGTGAAATCCCATCTCTACTAAAACTACAAAAATTAGGTGGGCATGGGGGCAGACACCTGTAATCCTAGCTACTAGGGAGCCTGAAGCATGAGAATCGCTTGAACCCCAGAAGTGGAGGTTGCAGTGAGGCAAAACTGTGCCACTGCACCCTTGCCCGGGCCTCAAAAAAAAAAAAAAAAAAAAAAAAGGAGAGAACAGAGTGAGGAAAAGAGGTGAAAAATGTGAACCAGAAAGCACAGTTCTAGAGCAGGCATGGTGGTGCATGCCTATAATCCCAGCTACTTGGAAGGCTGAGGCAGCAGGATCACTTGAGCCCAGGAGTTCAAGGCTGGCCTAGGTAACATAGCAAAACCCAGTCTCTTTGGGGAGGGGGGTGTGTGCGTGTGTGTGTGATGGACTTTCCCGTGTGTGTGTGTGTGTGTGTGTGTGTGTGTGTGTGTGTGT